GCCACAAAGGTCTGCCCTCACCTCCCTCACAGCCTAGTACAGGCCAGGAGCTGTCCAGGGGAGGGTGAGAGAGGGGCTTCCAAGGAGGGATTGAGAGGATCCTAGGGCTGCGATCAGAACTTTGCCTCCCCCATCTGGGTTGGAGCCAGGTTCTAGGGTGGTGTTGGTCCTCTGTCCAGGCTCAAGATTCACTTCTCCCTCACCCCCACCCCATCTTCTTCACCCCACTAACATCCCAGACTTATCTCTAATTACTGACTACTGATGATAGTTTGCTGAGGGACAAGACTCTGGAGGGTGGGGACAATGATTTGAGTCCTGTACCCTCTAACCTACAGTGAGCCCTAATTTCTGCCTTTGGCAGAGCCCCTACTTCTGTCCCCAGGAGAAGACCTGCTCTGCCCTCCTACCCAAGCAACTCTTAGGTCTTCTCACAATGTCTCGGAGGGACCAGATAACTTAGCTGAGGTTGCATAGTATGTCTGGGTCTGTGGCAGATCTCTACATCTTTGACCTACTCCTGGTTAGGGTTTCCACCAAAGAGGCCTATTCACTTTCTCCTGGAAGGTTGGAGAGAAGCCTGGACCCCTGATCATCTCCTACTCCCAAACGCCGTCTATGCTGCTGCCCAGAGGCATGCCCAGGAGGTCAGGGACTAACCTGTCTGGGTCCTTCCAAAACATTCTCTCTTTGCCTGGGTTCTGCAAAGGAACTTCTCCGACTCCAGAGCTCAGACCTGTGTGGTGGGCAGCTCTATCTGGGGCATAAGTTGTTGTAGTGGCCCCTCTCCAGGTCTCTATCAAAGATTACACCCAGCGAAAGAATGCAAGGAGTGGTTTGGCTCACCCTGTCCAGACGGCTGCTTGGAACACACACACAGACATGCAACATGCTTGCCTTTTGGCACTTGACTTTCCCATGAAATAATTGCTGGAAAGCTCCTTGGATTAGGTAACCCAGTGTTCCTTCCTGTCCCTGCTCGGGGGAGGGGATCAGCCTTTAGCATCTGGTAGGCTGACCCAGCTCCTAAGGGGGAGGAAAAGGCCAGTTCAGGAGGATCTGGAGGCTCCCAGACATCCTTGGAAACAGAACATGATTATGGGAACAAGCCTTCCAGCCTATTCCTGTGGATCATCTCACTAAGCCTGTCCAGTCTTTGGGCCTCCTTCCACAGCCCAGGCCCGAGACAGCTAATTAGGGAAGCCTTTCCCTACAAAGAATGAGATGTTTCATTCTCATTGTTAAATAAAATGAGAATGAGATGTTCATTCTCAATGTTAAATATAAACATTTATTTTAAATGTTTACAGTGTCTATCATACTGTTATCCCAAGCAACAGTTGCTGCCATCCTTCCTTCTTTTGGTGGGGTTTGTAGTATCTAGTCTCTTTGGAATCAGGGATAAGAGTATTGAAGAAAAAGAGAGGTTAAAGGTGACACCTGGATGGTGGGCCCCTAACTTCTGCCGCGCATGGATTGGGAGGACATGGATTGGCTTTTGGTCTCAAAGCTCCTCCCTCATAGCAAGACTTTGGAAACATGTTCCTAACCTGCTCCCAGTTTATCCTCAGCCTGTAAAGATGAGAGGGCATTTCACCATCTGCCTCCCCCTCCCTGAAATCTCAGAACTGGTGAAAGAAATTCCAGGCGAAAGTCTCATAGGTGAGGGGCTGAAGTGATGGCTCTGCAGTTAAGAACACTGTTGCTGTTGCAGAGAACCCCCTGAGCTCGACTCCCAAGACACACATGGCCGCAAACAACTGTTGGGAACTCCAGTTCCAGAGGATTCTGACACTTTCTAGCGATTTCTGTGGGCACCAGGCACGCACGCTGTGTAAATACAAACAGGTAAAACACTTATACACATAAAATAAAATAAATATTAAAAAAAAACAGACCTCTCACAGATATTTGCTAACCTGATGGTACCGGGTGGCGATTGGAGATGTATACAAAGGTGAGTCCGAGAGGT